AAGGTACACAAATTTTCAAGAATCTCGTTACAGAATTCACCTTCATTATCTGTTACTAGGGACTTAAGGGTGGTATGCCTCAGATAAAGCGTTCTTTAAACGCTTTAGCTACTGTCCCTGCAGTCTTATCTGCAATAGGAACTGGCTCACAATATCTGGTGAAATGGTCTACCATAACACACAGATGTTTGTTGCCTTGGAGGGAACATTTAAAGTTGGTTAACAAATCAAGGGCAACTCTTTCCCACAGTTCGCTAGTGGTTGGATACACCTGGATTGGATTAGGACCATTGACATTTCCTTTATGCTGCATACAGACACTACATTTCTTAACATACTCAGAAATGTCAGTTGCCATACATGGCCAAAAGTACTTCATTCTGGCTTGTTTTACCGAACGATCCATACCAGTGTGTGCAACACCTGGTGCATCGTGAGCTAGCTGTAGAGCTACATTCACTAGTGACTGTGTAATTACTAACTGGTATACTCTTCTGCTTGGAGTACCCAACTCGGCTGTTTGATACAGTAATTCTTGACTCATTACAAAGTCACTAATGGGTGCTGGTGGCTTCACAGTCAGAATAAGATCTTCCTGGAGCAGGAATCGAATCACACCAGACCACATGGGATTTTGTTCGTTGAGCATTCTTTACATCTTCAGCACAAAGGGAGGGTCTGCAGTTACTATACTAACATGTCGCGATAAGGCATCTGCGACTACATTTGACTTCCCAGGTAATGTTAAAAAGTGGGATTGAACTTTTGGGGATAGTCAAGGTCCATCTGGCAAATCTTCCAGTAGGTTGTTTTTTCTGAAATAAGGGTATCAGAGGTGCATGGTCTGTCAAGACATGAACGGGTACTGGTAAATAATATCTTGGAAGGCTTTAAAGACCATACTATTGCTAAAGCTTCTTGCTCCATTACTGTATAATTACGTTCAGCCTTCATAAGGATTCTACTAAAAAATGCAACTGCGTTGTATTGCTTTCAGTCTTCTGAGCTAGTATGGCACCTATGCCAATTAAAACTAGCATCAGTTGTTCAGATAAAAGGGGGCTTGGGAAAAATCTGGGAATTTCAAATGGGACGGATGTTAGCTTTTCTATTAGTGTCTGGAATGCTCTTTCTTGACGGAAGGTCCAAACAAAAGGAGCATCTTTCTTAAGCAATTCAGTTAGAGGAGCTGCTATTGAAGAAAAATTAGCAATGAAAATCTATAAAAACCCTGCTAGACCCACAAAGGATCTTACAGCATCAGCAGTTTTTGGGGATGGAAAATTTAATACTGCCGTTACTTTACTTTGATCAGTCGTTTAAACCCCCCTAGGAAATGACTACGTGACCAAGAAACTTAATTTCTGATCTGAAAAATTGACATTTGGACAGTTTGATCTTTAAACTGGCTTCTTCAAACTTACCAAGTACTATATCAAGTCTTTTCAGATGTGTATCCACGTCTTCAGACATGATGATTACGTCATCTAAGTATACCATAAGTGCTTTACCTATGAGACTTCTAAAGATATTGGTCATGAGTCTAGAGAATGTGATAGGAGAGGATCGTAATCCAAAAGCCATTTGAAGGAAGTGATAATGACCTGTGGGAGCAGAGAATGCAGTTAACTCTTGGCTGTACTCGTGAATAGGGACATGCCAAAACCCTTGTAACAAGTCCAGGGTCAAGAAGGCTTTGTTATCTCCGATGTTGCATAAAAGATCACCAAGTACAGGAAGTTTACCTGGAGTTTACCTGGAGAGAGTTTCGGGGGTCAACGCCCCCGCGGCCCGGTCTGTGACCAGGCCTCCTGGTGGATCAGAGCCTGATCAACCAGGCTGTTGCTGCTGGCTGCACGCAAACCAACGTACGAGCCACAGCCCGGCTGATCCGGAACGACTTTAGGTGCTTGTCCAGTGCCAGCTTGAAGACTGCCAGGGGTCTGTGGGAATCCCCCTTATGTGTGCTGGGAGGCAGTTGAACAGTCTCGGGCCCCTGACACTTATTGTATGGTCTCTTAACGTGCTAGTGACACCCTGCTTTTCATTGGGGGGATGTTTTCATCGTCTGCCAAGTCTTTTGCTTTTCGTAGTGAGTGATTTTCGTGTGCAAGTTCGGTACTAGTCCCTCTAGGATTTTCCAGGTGTATATAATCATGTATCTCTCCCCCTGCGTTCCAGGGAATACAGGTTCAGGAACCTCAAGCGCTCCAATAATTGAGGTGTTTTATCTCCGTTATGCGCGCCGTGAAAAGTTCTCTGTACATTTTCTAGGTCGGCAAATTTTACCTGCCTTGAAAGGTGCTGTTGTGTGCAGCAATATTCCAGCCTTTGATAAACAAGTGACCTGAAGAGTGTCATCATGGGCTTGGCCCTCCCTAGTTTTGAAGGTTCTCATTATCCATCCTGTCATTTTTCTAGCAGATGCGATTGATACAATGTTATGGTCCTTTAAGGTGAGATCCTCCGACATGATCACTCCAGGTCTTTGACGTTGGTGTTTCGCTCTATTTGTGGCCAGAATTTGTTTTGTACTCTGATGAAGATTTAATTTCCTCATGTTTACCATATCTGAGTAATTGAAATTTCTCATCGTTGAACTTCAATTGCTTTCTGCAGCCCACTGAAAGATTTGGTTGATGTCCGCCTGGAGCTTTGCAGTTGTCTGCAAGGAAGACACTGTCATGCAGATTCGGGTGTTATCTGCAAAGGAAGACACGGTGCGTGGCTGACACCTTGTCTATGTCGGATATGAGGATGAGGAACAAGATGGGAGCAAATACTGTGCCTTGTGGAACAAGACTTTTCACCGTAGCTGCCTCGGACTTTACTCTGTTGACGACTACTCTCTGTGTTCTGTTAGTGAGGAAATTATAGATCCCTCGACCGACTTTTCCTGTTATTCCTTTAGCACGCATTTTGTGCGCTATTACGCCATGGTCACACTTGTCGAAGGCTTTTGCAAAGTCTGTTATATTACATCTGCATTCTTTTTGTCTTCTAGTGCATCTAGGACCTTGTCGTAGTGATCCAATAGTTGAGACAGACAGGAGCGACCTGTTCTAAACCCATGTTGCCCTGGGTTGTGTAACTGATGGGTTTCTAGATGGGTGGTGATCTTGCTTCTTACGACTCTTTCAAAGATTTTTATGATATGGGATGTTAGTGCTATTGGTCTGTAGTTCTTTGCTGTTGCTTTACTGCCCCCTTTGTGGAGTGGGGCTATGTCTGTTGTTTTTAGTAACTGTGGGACGACCCCCGTGTCCATGCTCCCTCTCGATAGGATAGTAAAGGCTCGTGATAGGGGCTTCTTGCAGTTCTTGATGAACACGGAGTTCCATGAGTCTGGCCCTGGGGCAGAGTGCATGGGCATGTCATTTATCGCCTGTTCGAAGTCATTTGGCATCAGGATAACATCAGATAGGCTTGTGTTAACCAAATTCTGTGGCTCTCTCATAAAAAATTCATTTTGATCTTCGACTCTCAGTCTGGTTAGTGGCTTGCTAAAAACTGAGTCATATTGGGACTTGAGTAGCTCACTCATTTCCTTGCTGTCATCTGTGTAGGACCCATCTTGTTTAAGTAAGGGCCCAATACTGGACGTTGTTCTCGACTTTGATTGGCATAGGAGAAGAAATACTTTGGGTTTCTTTCGATTTCATTTATGGCTTTTAGTTCTTCCGCGATTCCTGACTCCTATAAGATTCCTTTAGCTTAAGTTCGTTTGTTTGCTATTTTATCTGACAGTGGGTATCCTCTACGCATTTTCGATAGATTGACCTCTTTTAGCCGTCCTCTGTTATTTCTTTTCCGTTGCCTGTTAAAGAGAGCGCCTGGTCTCTTTCCTATTTTAAATCTTCTCCTCCTTTTTCTTAGAGGAAATAAGTCTTGTGGCATACATCGAGTGCTCACCAAATTAAATCTGTTAGGCATAAGTTGGGTTCTGTGTTGCCCATAGTATATCTTCCCATGTTAGATTATATCGGTTAGGACTTGGTTTATTTGGTCCCACTTTTATGTTTTTGTTATTGAAGTTAAATTTGGTGAATGCTCCCTCGTGACTAATTTTCATTTTGTCGGTCGGTGGTTATGCGCATACATGTGGAACCTCAATTATGTTGTGATCTGAGTATATTGTTTTTGATATGGTGACATTTTCTTATCAGATCATTCTTTGTTAGTGAAGATGAGGTTTAGTGTTTTCTCATTCTAGTAGGCTCTTTATTTGCTGGTTTAAAATTGAATTTTGTGCAGAGGATTAAAAGCTCATGTGAGTGTGAGTCTTTCATCAGAGCTGCCTCCTGGTGTTATTACTGCAACAAGATTATTTGCTTATTCCTTCATTTTAGGTGCTTAAGTTGAAATCCCCCAGGAGTAAGATGTTGGGTGAAGGAGCTGGAAGATTTTCCAGACAGTGGTCATAAGTTTTAACAGGCTTTTCAGGGAATTGCTGGGATGTTGCAATCCGGAGGCTTGTTAGACTACACAATGACTAGGTTTGGTTTCGACCTTTACTGCTAAAATCTTCCACTACTTCATTTGAGGGCATTGAGCAGTTCTGTGCAAACAAGTGACTCTGCAATGTACAGGCCACCCCCCCCCCTTTTTGGGCCTGTTTCACTCTGTCACATCTGTATAGGTTGTAACCTGGGATCCATATTTCGTTGTCCAGTGATCCTTTTAGTGGGTCTCATTAAAAGCCGCGAACATTGGCTTTGCCTCTGCAAGCAGTCCACGGATGAAAGGTATTTTGTTGTTTGTTGCTGGCTTTAGACCCTGTATATTTGCAAAGAAGAATGTTATCGGACTGGTGGTATGTTGGTTTTGGGGGTGTAGTAGTTAATATGAAGAAGTTTGACCGTATTTTGGGTTTTAAAAAAATGTATAAAAATTCTATATAAACACTTAATTGATGAGTAATGTAATTGAATTAAAACCCAATTTCAGTGCCAGCTTTCAAGTTGTTTTAATGTTAAATCTAACAATATTATTTTTTACAGGATAACGATAAACCAGAGGAGTGTAATGTGTGTTACAACAATTATGATGAAGAACTACGACGGCCACGCAATCTGCCGTGTGGCCACGCATTCTGCACACAATGTATTAAAAGATACAATAAATAATGTTCAATAAACCTGTCCCAGCTGCCGTGCTGAGCCCCAGGCCACAGCGGGCTACTCAGTTTCCCAATCAGTTATGGTATGGAGGCTTTTCATGAAGAAATTTACAAGTATGCAGGTCACATCAGTTGGCGCAGTGTCAGCAGAACCTGGTCAAGATCACACAAGAGGCATCGGCAAGAAGTTACAGTCTAGGGTACGGGAACAGAAGAACAGTATCAGTTACCTTATAAGTAAAGTGTGAGGAAGTACTGTCTCAGCTGGGCAAGTACCAGCAGCAGGTGAGGGACTGGAAGCCCCAGCACCATCAACTGCAGGACGACTCAATGATCTGAGGGAAAACAGAACAAGGCAGCAATAGAGCTCCTGGAACGGGAAGATACCAGGTGGTAAAATATGACAACAAAGAGGAGAGCAGGAAAGAAGCAGGGCAGACCATACTGGAGTGTCTCGACACAGTCAACCCCTGTACAGGAGGTTGTCTCTACCATTGTTGAAGCTGATCAGTACGACGTGGAAGCTGAAGACTGGATCCAGAAGTGTCAGAAACTCTTCCCAGATGTCAACACTGTCTGCACCCAGTGAAGGTACACTGCTGGAGGTCACTACTCTCACTGAAACTGAAAGTAACAATTGTCTTTCATAAAAAATATAGATATTTTAACACTTTACCTATAACATTTTTATGTTGTTCTGTTTTAAATTTTTACTTTATAAAGTTACAGTAGTTATATATTCCAGTTCCTTGTTTAAATATTAGTCTGATTTTATCTATTGTTTTTATTAACACGTCTACCGTTTCCTACCGAGGCAGTGTGACCTAAAAAAACAAGAAAAACTTCATCATCATTCACTCCCATCACTGTCTTGCCAAGGCGCACATACAAACAGATAAAAAAACTGCAACATTAACACCCCTCCTTCAGAGTGCAGGCACTGTACTTCCATCTCCAAGACTCAAGTCCGGCAAACCCAAATTTTCCCTTGAATCCCTTCATAAATGTTATTTTGCTCACCTTCAACAGTATGTAAAGTCATAAAAACCATTTGTCTTCACTTGCTCCTATCTAACATGCTTACACACACGTTGATAGCCCAAGTCCCTCACACAAAAAACCCTTTTTTCTTTAACCCCCCCTCCAAAACCTTTCTAGACCGATCCCTGCCCTGCCTTCCTTCCACTGCAGATTCTATGCTCTTCAAGTCATTCCATTTCATTTCCACACTCCGAATGTCTGAACCACCTCAAAAAACCCCTCCTCGGCCCTCTGGATAATACAGTAGACCATTATTTTAAACACAGATTTTTTGACATGTGTTGGTTATTGAACTACCTGGATTTTTACCTGCAGAGAGTTTGGGGTCAATGCCCCTGCGGGCCCTGTCTGTGACCAGGCCTTATGGGAATAGGGGTCTGATCAACCAGGCTGTTACTGCTGGTTGCACGCAATCCAGCGTACGAACCACAGCCCGGCTGGTCAGGAAACCGACTTCAGGTGGTTGTCCAGTGCTTTCTTCAAGACGGGTCAGGGGTCTTTTCGTACCCCCCCTTATGTATGCTGAGAGGCAGTTGAACAGTCTTGGCCCCCTGTCATTTTTTGGTTGTCTCTTAACGTGCTAGTGGCATCCCTGCTTTTCCCATTGGGGGCATGTTGCATCGTCTGCCGAGTCTTTTGCTCTCGTAGGAGTGATTTTCATGTGAAAGTTTGGTACGGGCCCCTCTAGGTTTTTTCCAGGTGTATATAATCATGTATCTCTCCCGCCTGCATTCCGGGGAAATACAGGTTCAGGAACTTCGAGCGCTCCCAGTAATTGAGGTGTTTTATCTCAGTTATGCGTGCCGTGAAGGTTCTCTGTACATTTTCTAGGTCAGCAATTTCACCTCCCATAAAAGGTGCTGTTAGTGTTGCAGCAATATTCCACCCTAGATAGAACAAGCGACCTAAAAGAGTGCCATCAGGGGCTTGGCATCCCTAGTTTTGAAGGTTCTCATTATCACCTGTCATTTTTCTAGCAACTGCAATTGACACAATGTTATGGTCCTTGAAGGTGAGATCCTCCGACATGATCACTCCCAGGTCTTTGATGTTGGTTTTTGCTCTATTTTGGGGCCAGAATTTGTTTTGTAAACTGATGAATTTTTAATTTTTCTCGTGTTTACCATATCGGAGTAATTGAAATTTCTCATCTTTGAACTTCATATTGTTTTTTTGCAGCCCATTGAAAGATTTGGTTGATGTCCGCCTGGAGCCTTGCAGTGTCTGCAATGGAAGACACTGTCATGCAGATTCGGTGTCATCTGCAAAGGAAGACACGGTGCGTGACTGACATCCTTGACTGTGTCCCGATATGAGGATGAGGAACAAGATGGGGGCGAGTACTGTGCCTTGTGGAACAGAGTTTTTCACCGTAGCCGCCTCGGACTTTACTCTGTTGACTACTACCTTTGTGTTCTGTTTGTGAGGAAATATAGATCCATCTACCAACTTTTCCTGTTATTCCTTTAGCACGCATTTTGTGCGCTTTCGCCCTAGTCACGCTTGTCGAAGGCTTTTGCAAAGTCTGTATTATTACATCTGCATTCTTTTTGTCTTTCTAGTGCATCTAGGGCCTTGTCGTAGTGATCCAATTGTTGAGACAGGGAGGAGTGACCTGCTCTAAACCCCTGTTGCCCTGGGTTGTGTAACTGATGGGTTTCTAGATGGTGGCGATCTTGCTTCTTAGAGCAGTAGGGACCGTCTTTTGGCCAGGCAATCACCAAAGACAAATTGAGATCACATGTTCCAGGTGCCATGCCTGCTGGGGAATGTCACCCATCCAGCCTTGTATGCCCCCTGTACAACCATTGTGCCAAGCAAGCCCTTCCAACCATCGCTGCCCGAATTTTGTGTAGCGTGCAGCATTGGGTACCTAGTCATCGTGGACGATTCAGTGGCTGGCCACACATTGTCACATCCAAGTCGGGCGCCAAGGGGGGCTTCATCACAGCTCTTCTCAATTACTTTGCAACATTTGGTGCTCCTGAAGAACTAAGCATAGACGGAGGCCCGGAGTTCACCGCAAAAGACACGGAGTCACTTCTGCGACAATGGGGAGTGAGCCATCGCCTTTCATCGGCTCACCACCCGCAGTCCAACGGGTGGGCAGAGGTAGCTGTCAAATCTATGAAGCGCTTACTGACATCGCACATGGATGCAAATGGGAGTCTCGATACAGAGGCGGTGACTGCCGGCATGCTTCAGTTTCCCCAGACCCTCAGACCATTTTGCCACCAGCACAAATCATCTTTGGCAAGAATCTTCGGGGTCTGCTACCCATTGCTCCGGGAACACAGGGTTCACCAACCCATTGATTCACCCCGTGTGGCATCAAACGGGGTATCAAGAAGAGGGCCCTCTGGCTAAGATTCGCCAAATAAGTCGATGATCTACAGCACCACAACTGTCAGTTTTCCCCCCCCCAGTGCTCGGCAATCGATGCCTCTGCAAAACCAAACTGGAAATCACAGCATGAGATATGACAGGACCAGTGCGGTAGTGAAGCTGAAGCCGTATGACCAGTACTTGGTCAAAGTAGATGGCTCGTGACAGATTACTTTGCACAATCGGCGGCTCTTCCGCCACATTCAGGGGCTGGCCCAATGCCAACCAGCCCTTGCCACCACACCCTGTTCCCCAGCCTACCCAAACCCTACTCATGCCAGCATGTAGTGCGGCACAGAACAGTGAGCTGCCTCAGGTACCCAGTGGCGATACAGCGACCACACCCCCACAGTCGCACGACACAGCGACAACCCCAGACGTCCGCCAGCATACCTATGGGATTATGTCACAGAGTGATGAGTTCCCCCCCCCGCTGGAAACTGGGGGAAAATGGATGGAGATAGGGGACACAGAGTGAGTCAAATTTGGCGGGTTGGCAGGCCGGTGCACTGCCTGTAGGTGAGGCAGAGAAACGTGAGTGTAAACAAAGAGAGCGTGAGGCCGACAGAACACAGTTTACCTCCCTAATACGTAAGTTAACAGTCACGTATTCTGCCAGGGAGGGCAATGCACACCCACTGTAGATTTCCGTCCATACTATGTAGGGCAATGATATATCAGGACTAGGAGGTACAACGTTTCTTTCGATTTCATTTATGGCTTTTAGTTCTTCCTGCGATTCCTGACACCTATAAGATTCCATTAGCTTCAGATCAATGTTTGCTATTTCTCTGACCAGTGTCTCCCTATGCATTGCAGATAAATTGGCCTCTTTTAGCTGCTCTGTTATTCTTTTCCGTCACCTGTAAAGGGAGCGCCTATCTCTTTCTATTTTACATCTACTCCCCTTTTTCTTAAAGGAATAAAGCCTCGACATACATCGAGTCCACAGAGTTATCTGTTCAGGGATAAGTTGGCGTCTGTGTTGGGTTAGCTATCTTCCCAGTTATAAACATTTAGGGCTTGGTTTACTTTGTTCCACTTATGTTCTTGTTAGTGAGTTGAATTTGGTGAAGCTCCCTTGGATTGTCGCATTTTGGTCTGTCTGGGGGTCCACGCATTTCATTTTGAACCTCGAATATGTGTGATCTGAGTATATTGTTTGATATGGTACATTTTATCATTCATCTTGTTAGTGAAGATGAGGTCCAGTGTATTCTCCAATCTAGTAGGCTCTATTATTTGCTGGTTTAAGGTGAATTTTGTGCAGAGATTTAAAAGCTCGTGTGTGTGTGAGTTCTCATCCGAGCTGCCTCCTGGTGTTATCACTGCAACAACATTATTTGCTATATTCCTCCATTTTAGGTGCCTTAAGTTGAAATCCCCCAGGAGCAAGATGTTGGGGGCAGGAGTGTTGGAAGATTTTCCAGACAGTGGTCAATTTTCAACAGCTCTTCCTATAATTGTTGGGACGTTGCATCTGGAGGCTTGTAAACTACCACAATGACCAGATTTTGGTTCTCCATTTTTACTGCTAAAACTTAAACTGCATCATTTGAGGCATTT